TTTTTTTTGTTTTCATATTTGCTCTTAATTCATGTGTTCTGTTGCGGTGGCCAATTGTGATATGACGTTTATCCAATTTAACAACTAATCATTTTTTACCAATCACTCGTTTTAACTCACATTTAAAATTCAATCTCGCTGACTTCAATATTATTAATATAATTAAATAATATCAATCAATCATTGTTACACATTACATCATCTTTAATTTACTATTTATCCACTCACATAATTTTTACTAAGAGCATATCTAATAGGAAGTTTTCAAGAGGTTCAAAATCTTGATGCTCACAAGTTTTCCACTAGAAAGCATAGTATTGGGGTTTGAAAACTCAATGTCGGTTTGGAATGTTGCTCCTCCTCTAAACCTCTACTTTATTAAAAAAATAATAATAAATTAAATTTACTCACTCACACACTAACATGTGTTGGTGGCATCAGGGTCGTCTCCAGAAATTCGGAGGCCCTAGACAAGTTTTTTCTTTTCGAATTTTCTCGATTTGAACTTACGTGATAATTAGGCCTATTCGCAGATAGAATCATAAATTTTAACGAGACTAGTAAATAAATAAATAAATAATTGAAAAAAAAAATTGAACTTGGAATTGATAAATTACCTCCGGGCTACAAAAATCTTTAATAAATTACAATCAACCAATCACGAGGACACTAAAGACAAGAAAATAAAAATCATATCACTACAAAGAATATTTATTTTCACACAACTTGTTCTGAACGAACGTCATACGAAAAAAATAAAATATTTAGGGCCTCAATCCCCCACAAACTACATATTTTGTCATTAGCTCCTTCATTTGTGTAATGATTTAAGTCCATATTTAGCCATTAACCCCTTCATTTGTGTAAATATTGTGTAAATAGACAAAATCCAACACAAATACATAATATTAAAAAAATAATGAGGTTTCATTATGTAGATAGACAAAACTCAACACAAATACATAATATTAAAAAAAAAATACGAGGCCCCAAATAAAAGGGAGGCCCTAGGCCCATGCCTAGGTTGCCTCCCCTCTGGAGCCGGCCCTGGGTGGCATTGTCCCACCCAACTTTTTTTTTTCACTTCTATTCATTTTCTTTATTGTTTAATATATTAGGTATCTTTTATTTATTATTTGGTGATAAATTTTTTAATTTCTTGGTTAATTTTTTATATTGACTAGTTCTATATATGCAAAATTTCATTGTTGCCTTGTTAATTATTTTGAGTTCACTTATTAATTGAGAAAGTATAAATATAAATAAAAACTGTATTTATAATTAAGAAATATAGTTTTATAGTGAATCATTATTTAATACATGCATAATTTTAATATATATAACTATGATATTAGAGTATAGTAATAAATACAATTGCTATTGGAAAAATACAATTGCAAACGAGGTATTTTTGAAGAAGAGGAAACTTCAACAAATAATCGTAAATGATTTTTTTTATAAACAATTGTATTCAACCTAGAAGCTAATATATTATTTCAATTATTTACTTTTAGTTTTTTATATTTTTTTTAATAATTTAAAAATAAAAGCTGGTGTTATTTTGGAATGTGTACCTAAAGATAATTTTAATTTTACTCATACTTTTAAATTTTTTTATTGATTTAAAAAATAATTGTAGCAAACCAAATGTGTTGTCACACATCAAAATAAAGCTGACATCTATCCATAGATATCTTATCTTCCAGCTATTTGATTGCATTTCTCTCATGCATTTTCAGAAGTTTGTCACGCATTACTTTTTTTAATAATATTCTTTGAATTGTGTGCCTATCTTATCTTCCAAAGGACTTTCCATTTTAGTTTAAATTCAGGCAGCATCCTAAAGAAACTCAAATCCTGAAAGAGCTTCATTTCGTGGGTTTAACAACCCACAAAATGGATAGAGACCCAAATCTATTGAATTTCAATATGCCTAATTCTTTTGAGAATGATATTTCATCTTCTGTTAATTCCCGTTTTAATATCAATCCTACACTTGGGAAATTTCCAAAAATACAATTTCAACCCTAATTCCAAAATTTTCCATACCCCCAGATTCCTTCTTTTCCTGCACCCCAAACATCTGAACAACAATCTCAGTATATGTCGTACCACCAGATGCCTTCTTTTTCTATACCCGAAACTTCTGAACAACAATCTCAATATATGTGGTCAATGTCAAAATCAACAGTTGACTCTTCTGTATTGAAAGGAAAATCACCATCTCAATATGGAATGCCAAATTCATTTGGCATGCCTTTTCAACAGGGTAGTTTCATACCGGCAGCTGTGAGTATAGGATCACAAGATGGCCTAAGAACTAATACTGAGTCAAAGGTTGAAGGAATTGATAATATTTGTCTTAATAAAGACACTTAAACAAGTAAAAAAGTTGGGCCAAAAAGACGTGTCAAATCGTTTGCAATATCGTGGACACAAGACGAGGATGTGTTGCTTTGTCGAGCTTTTTGCACTATTCAACTGATCCGATTGTTGGTGCTCAACAGAGTTCAAAAGGCTTTTGGAGGCGGATTACTCAATACTACAATGAAATTGCTGAGGCTCAAAGCTTTGCTCAGAGAACTATGGAGTCTACAAAATCTCACTTCTGTGTTTTTCATGTAGATTGCCTAAAATTCAATGCATCAATAAATAGGTTTCAAGCTGATCAAAGGAGTGGTGAAAATGATGCGATCGTGTTGCAAAATACCTTAAAGGAGTGGTATAGTGGCAATAATAAAAAAGGAGCCTCCAAATGTCTCCACCGTTGGGAGATTTTTAAAAATTGTCCTAAATTTCAAGGGACACCTAGGGCAAGTCGAGGAGGAAAGAAGTGTAGAACATCTGAATCACGAGATCACACTTCTGAATCGGACTAAGATGTGGAGTACGGTGGTGGTGATGAGGAACGATATGTGCGTCGTCCAATTGGCCAGAAGGCAGCGAAGGCTGGGAAAAGATAGAAAAAAGATGGAATAGAGAGTAGTAGTGATCAAAAAGTTGAACGTATGTTGGATGCATTTGGACATACTATGGAGATACATGAAAAACAACAGAAAGAGCTTAAAAAATTAGTTCACATGGAGTCATGAAAGACATACAGAGAAATGATTAAAGAAGACATTTCAACTATGACTGAAGAAGAATTAGAAGCCCATTACGGACTTCTTGCAAAACTAAAACAAGATTTGGGTCTTATTTGAACTTTCAGGGATTGTCTAATGAAGACTATGTATTGTATTTTATTTAATGTATTTCTAAGTTGTGTTAAATTTTAATGTGTACTCTATTTAACTTTTATGTTTTTTCTGATTTGCTTAATTTTTTTGTTTACCATAATATATTTAATTTTTTTTTTTTCTTATTTTGTGTCATGTCCTTCCTACACCAAATAATGCACCACCAACTACTTTAATTATTGGATCAAATAAATGTCAACCTAACATAGAGTAAGTAAAGGAAAGCATGTGCACGTGATACCAACCTAACTTCTGAAATGTTACATTAATGCGCTATCTTCCTATTGTAAATAGTGGCTTCAAATGTCTTCACAAACACCACATCACCTTTCATGAATTTTATCCTTTCTCTCATCTTATTTTGTTCTTTTACTCCAATATCACCTTTTAGTTTGCCTAATTTCTTCTTTTAACATGTCTAGACATACTAAATATAGAGTAGCATATCGTGCTTTCTTAAAAAACATGCTTGATGATTCTCTGGCAAAAACTGAATTTGTCTTGATGGAAGCTGCAATTAATCAGTTCGAAGAAGATGAACATGCTGAAAATTCAGGAAGGCGAGAAAGACAAGTCGTGCATTCTGGTCGTGATGTCGCACATGCTCTGCTAATAAAAGATTATTTTAATGTTGAGCCCACTTATCATGAGGGCTTCTTTCGCCGTATATTTCGAATGTCTAAATGTTTATTTTCTCGTATTTTTGATTCTGTTGAAAACCATTCTGATTATTTCAAGAGTAAAACAGACGCGTCGGGTAGACAAGGCTTTACTCCTATTCAGAAATGTACTGCAGCTATACGTCAACTAGTATATGGAGTACCTGCTGATCAAAGCGATGAATACTTGCGTATGTCTGAGCAGACAACAACTATAAGTCTTATGGAGTTTTGTCGAGCTGTGCGTCAGGTATTTGCATCTCAATACTTACATTCACCTAATGCTGTTGCATCCAACGGCTACTTGCCTTACATGAGGACAAACATTGTTTTTCCAGAATGTTAGGGAGCCTTGATTGTATGCATTGGGAGTGGAAAAATTTTCCAGTTGGTTGGCAGGGCTCAGACACCCAAGGGGATCATGGAGTACCCACTATAAGCTTGAAGCAGTGGCCTCACAGGCCTTGTGGATCTGACATGCCTTTCTTGGACTCGCTGGGTCACGAAATGATATTAATGTATTGCACGAGTCCCCATTATTCAACGATGTCTTACACGGGGTAGCACCTGAGGAAATTTTACAATAAATAGAACCCAGTATAATAAAGGGTATTATTTAACATATGGTATCTATCTGGAATGGGCAACATTTGTCAAGAGCTTCAAGTGCCCAGAGGATCCAAAAAGAAAAAAGTTCAAGCAACGACAAAAGGCTGCAAGGAAAGATGTTGAGC